TTGTAAATTATCTTTTTTGTCATTTAGATTTAAAAATCTCCCAAAATTATTAGTTTTAGGTATAGAGAATGCTTAACTCAAATTAAACTTTAATAAACGTTCTTTTGAATGGTGATATAAAATACAATTAAGGAAAATGGGAAAATGATGTATTTCCGTACTGATGTACCCTATAAAGATTTGTTTAAAATTAAAAAAGTAGTACATCGGTAAACATTTTTGAATAATAATGAAAACCATTTACTCCAAAAAAATGTTTCTTTTGCACTATACACGTCTTTAAAATCAGTACGGAAAACTTTGATATTGTATTACTTTTTTAGAGAACCTTGTATAATTGGAAAGTATATGTTGCTTCTTTGATTTTTTGAAAAACCATTTTAATTCATGATAAAGTTTTAATCTCAAATTTAACATGCTTTTTAATAGAATTAAATAAAAAAAAAACATTTTTTAAATAACACACGAGAATAAAGTTTGGCCTTATGAACAGTTTTCAATATTATAATAATTATTGCCAGAAATAATCCATTGGTAAATTTGTATACGCGAATGAATTTAAAGGGCAAAGAGACCAATTTGTTTTTAGATCATTCGATATGCCTAAAATGTTTTTAAAAAGAGATTCTAATTCTTTGAACCGCTCTCAAATAGGTAATAATAAATCATTTCGTTATAAAGGATTCCATTGTAAAGGTTTCCATTGTAAATAATAAGCTCTGAAATCAAGTGTTGAGCCAGTCAAGCATATGTTACTTATTTAGTATTGTATTTAAAAATTTAACCAACTATTAAAACTTTAGAAAAGAATTTTTTTTGTAACATAAAAAAATGTTGTTTCATAAATAAAAATGTCTATTTTGTGTGACACATGCACTGCATAGGTTTTGGAATGGCTAATTTCCGAGTTATTTGATCATAAAATAAAATAAAAAGGAAACAAATCTCTTGCAAAATCCAAAGTTTGAATGTTGTTTAATATTTCTCTAATTTTTACAGTAATTTTGACTATTAAAACTAAAAGTAGAGCAAATATATTACTGAAATGAGGATAAAAATCATAATTACAAATATTTAAAAATAAATGTAGGGACAGTTTGAGAAGTGGTTGGTTTAAATACAAGCTGTAAGACAATTTTTACCCTATGTACATCATATTTTTTATTTTACTTTATGGAGTACCTACCTTAAATATTAATTATAAATGTTATACTGCGTTAGTGACAAACAGTTGGTCAAATAAAAAATAATCAAATTTCTTTATTCTAATACAATGCGTGTTGATTTTCAAGAAAAAAAAATTCTTAAGTTTTATTTGTTTCCTATCTGTGTACATACAGAAAAGGAAAGTATAGTAATCATGATTTTTTTCGACCTCAAGTTTTTGACGGATTTTTACGTTTCGGGGGCTCTTGAATTCGTTTTAAACGTAAGCTTTAATCCACCCTTCGGTGAACTGATTATATTTTGGGCCTAGTCGGAACATCTGGGGGTACTGTATGGGGGATCTTTTTATACTTTATGGAATACATCTGTTATTTTTGCTTAGAGAAGAAACTTCTTTAAATAAAAGTTTTCCCCTAGAATTTTTACTCCATATATAATTTTCGTAAAATGGAGCGTATTCGAGAAATTTGAGGAAAAGTGAAAATTTAGAATTTTGAACATTTTGAACTCAATAACGGATTAAAAAAAAGCAACAAATTATAAATTTAAGCTTCAATCTACCATGCGGTAAGCTGCTTAGATTTTGGGCATAGTTGGAACATCAGGGGGTTACTTTATGAGAGAGTAATTTTCTACTTTATTGAATATATCTGTTATTTATACTTGGAGAAGAAACTTCCTTAAATAAAAGTTGTTTGCAAAATTATTCTCTATATGTTTTCTTTTATACATAACTTTCCTAAAATTGTCCGTATTTAAGAAATTTGAGGATAAGTGACAATTTTAAATTTTAATTAAACATAACTCTTCGCTTCGGCTATTTTTTTGTGCTTTTATGTATAATTAAACAACTATTTTTTCCAAGTTTTAATAGAAAATATTAACATTATAAAACTAAAAATCCATTAATATTATATGTTTAACCCAAATTTATATTAACTCCAATTTAAGTTTAAAGTAAAATTTTAGAAAAAAAAAAAAACTCTATTACAGTTTTTCTTTGATTGATTTTGTTTACTAAGGAGAACGTCATTTGTGGACTGTTATTTGTCTTTTTAGGAGTCATAAGAAATACACAAGTTCTATAAAGAATATTTTTTGCACTCTTTTGGTTTTGAAAATGTACAAATTCTCGAAAATAAATCAAATAAAACAAAAGAACTATCCCTGAAATGATACATATTAAAAAAATATTAAAACAGACATAAAATATTTAACTAACATTTATTTTAATTCTAACTAATTGTAAGCTTTTTAATTTTATTCTATATTTTAAAGCCACTGATATTTTTTATTTTTGTAAACACTCATGTTTTTGTTTTCCTACTGTATGTATCTTGTTAAATCTAATTATATTATTTCGAATACACCTCCACACGCTGTAAAACAGAAGATGGGGCTTTAACTGTTTTAAAAAATTACATGTGTTTTAGTTCCTCATGTTTTTAAAAATAATTTACTAAACCAGAAGATAAAGAATATGTTATCCAAAATATATCTGTCGCCCGAGCTGTCGCCTATAAAATAAAAAATTAAATAAACATTTATGACCAAATAAACCAAGGCACTTTATTTAAAGTAAAAGAAATACGAGCAATACCCAAATATCTATTTTTGGGTCTTTATTCAAAGTACAACTAAACGGCCGTAAAATAAACACATGTGGTTTTAAGGTCTAAAAGGGGCTGAATTTTACACAAACTAGTAACATTTCATGCAATTTCAAACGGATCAGTGTTGTCAAACTTACAGAGTTCACGAAAGACGCTATTAGTATTTTTAAATTCTTCTCAGTATACATGGTGTATATTGGGCGGATGCCATCAAGGGTCATATCTATACGGATGCCACGGACGACTACAATTCAATATATATATATATATATATATATATATATATATATATATATATATATATATATATATATATATATATATATATATATATATATATATATAGGCGATTTTAAATCAGTTACTAGAAATGTGACCAAGTCACATACTAAAATCGAAGTATGTGGACCAAGTCAAAGCCATATTCGAGCGGTCAACTGGTTTAAATATATTTCATGCTATTTGAAAATGGTTTGAACTATTCCCATTCGAGTGACTAAATGACGTCAAATTAAATTTGGTTTAAACCAGCTGCATCTGTTTTTGAAATGTTTCATAAAGAACGGTTCGAGGAAATACAAATGTCATTATTATCAAAAATATTAACAAACATCATAGAGGATAGCAAAGACAATAAAATTCATGATAAAAAAGATTATTTATGTTATGGTCATAAGAAAAAATAGAAAATGCATAATTATGAAGGTTTATAATGTTTAAGAATTTTTAAAAACTTTACCTTGTAATTCTAAATAACTGGTTAAAGTCGAATTCTAAATATAACGATCCATTTTTCATAAAACTCTGGTAATATTAATCTCTCTTTGCCATATGAGGCAAAAATTATCTATTGCCAGATATTGACAAACTCACAAATCGTTAACTTAACAGTGACATCACTGTTTCAAAATTATTTATTTGAGCGCTTTCAAAATTTATGACGTAGTATTAAAACAGGTTCTAAAAGTTGTTGAAAATATTTTTTAACCAAAGAGACCGCTCGAATATGGCTCAAATGTGGTCAAGGTGCTTACGTCATTATACTGACGTTATATTATCTGATTTAAAAATGTTTAATTTATATTGACCCTAACTTGACAATGCGCATGACATTGTCAGATATCGCCATTTTTTTTGTGTGTATTATGTATTGTAGTTAGGATTTGGTTTTAAATTTGTAAGGATAAACAAGTTATAAAAGTAATTTTAAAAAATAGTGCAGATGCCATCACCACATCTTGAAAAAATTTATAGAGGACCACCTCTGAGTTACCCCTTTACTAACAAAAAAAGAATCCTAGAAATCGGACAAGGTTGTAAAGAATTACCACTAAACATATATAAAAAATGAAGAGTTTGAGGATTTTCTAATGGACTCAATTATAAGATTTTAACCTCTAAATTCATATGGGACCACCTCTGAAGTACCCCACTTTCTAATAAAAAAGAATCATTAAAATCGGAAACCGTGTTAAATAATTATCGCTGAATATACATTAAATATATTACGACGAATTGAGAACCTCCTCCTTTTCTGAAGTCGGTTAATAAATATTTGTTTTGTGTACTGATCACGGATGAATTGAAAATTGGTATTGTAGTTGCTAATTGGTGTTGTAGTTTCTTTGGCCTCTGAAATTTTATCAAAACTTTTGCCATGTTCATCAATAAATCTTGGCTATCTTCAAAAATAAATTGGCTTTTCATTTACAAAAACCTTTAATTGCGTCCATATCTAAATAAGTACTCAGCTAGGGTTGCCAGACGGCTCACTTTAGGCGAAATTGTTGGCACGCATTACGCCAAAGTACGAAAATGCCCCACATTTTAACTAAATGCTACGCTTTTTACATCCAAATTTATATATACAGAAATTTTTAACCTTTTTTCGAGAATCTCCTCAGAAAAAAGACCTGATAGTTTATAAAAATATAAGCAGAGGATTTTTTTTAGATCTCCACAAAGAAAGGATCTTATTTTATAAAAGTACCTGTTTTTTTAACATGATCTTTGCCGTCATCGTTGTCCCACTTTTCCCTTTCGTAAATCTGGTAACCGTATACTCAACCTTTCTTTTGATTTTACAAATAACACAACAAGATAATAATTTAATAATTAAAACGTAAAAGTTGTACATTTGTCATTTTATTTGACATTTCATACCTGTGATGAGCACGTTTTAACGGTAGTCTTGTTATATGAAAAAGCAGTCTATAAAAACTATCTGTCATTGTCTTAAATCCAATAAACAAAAAGGATGAAACGTCGATCTTTGTCTTTCAAAATGGTCTATAATCAAGCGAGTGTTTTTCATTTTTTTTAAGACAATGACGACATAATATCTTTATCTTAGCAACACTTTTATTTATAAAAAATTGAGTTTTCACAACTTTTCAAAATTCACAATATATGTACCTAATGGTCTATTGACCGTTTTTGTCTTTCTTTTTTTCATATTTTTCATCATGTTTTGACGAAAAATATCGGTCGAATATCATTTACATTTGTTCAAATAGTGTTCAGTTTGGTAAGTCACTTTAACATATTAATATTGATAGTAGATAAGAGTTAAATTAAGAAGGAAAGTCTACAGCTCTGCGGTCATACAGTGCCTTTAGCTGCCTTTTCTTTGTAGTTCCTACTCTACCCAATTATGTGTGAGATTGTGGACTTTTTTCTTAATTAACCTCTAAATAATGTCTTACATAAGTAAAACAGTTTACCAAATGAATTTCTGCAAATCAATTACGGTAATAAGTAATCTTATTGAATTTTTATCAAATTTTCAAAATATTGTCAGTCTATTTTGATAACTACATGACAACTGTCAATAGCAGTTATTTAGCAAGATCCATTGAAAACATATTTTTTTAAAATAGCTTTTGTAGCGACTTATATTTTTTAGATACTAAAATAATTTATTTGCCTAAGTATTATGATTGATATTATTTGGTATTATGCATGAATTTAAATATTTCTACTAATTTTCTTGTTCCCAGCATTGTTTTCGTTAATAAACAGTACCTAGGTATAAAGAATGATAATTTTTCATATAGTGTTACTAAAGTTGATTATCGTTTAGGATCGAAACTTATTGTTAGTTTGATTTTAACAATTTAAGTTGGCGATAAAACCAAGAAATTCCTTCACACAAATAAAGGCGCTCCAACTTTATTCCAAATATCTAAACTATCCTAATATCGTAATTTATTGCTGTTTCCAGTGACCCCAGGTTTATACTGATGATCTCCTAGCTCCCATGGTAAATCTCAGCTCTTTTGCACCACTTTTGAACCGTGTGTATACCAAATTGATTCGTTTTTAATTTTCCCACATGACTTTTTGATTTTTCCGGTATTTTTTTTATAGAAAGGTGTCATAAAGTCATAAATACGTATTCCATTCGATGGCATTATTACCACTGGATTTTATTTTTATTTTATTAATATTGGTGTTTTTTCTTGAAAGTCTCCTTCAAATCAATTTGTGAACAGCCTGGATACAACTGCCATAGCCTCTGTTTTCACCACAGTGTTATTGAGGAAGACCTGGCAGTAACTCCGTTACAGCAGTGGTCATTTTGCTAAAGGTATCAGGTTAATATCAAACAGGCCAATTTGTGTACCTTATCTAATTTTCTACCAAAACTTTTTTAGTATTGTGCCACCATATGACTGATGGATAGGTTACAACGGGTACTAGGTCCTAGTGCATCTTTATCTTTATCGGTTGAATGCAGGTAAAGTTAGGTTTGGCCCAGAACACTGCGGCCTCTTGGGTCTATTGTATTCCCCTGCTTTCCCCGTATTCAGGTACTATCTTTGGAATAGTCCTGTGTCTTTGGTTAGTTTTAATAGGTTCCCTACCAAGTGTTCCTGGGGCGTTATTTCCGGTTCTAGACCGAAAAGGATGAAACGTCGCACATAAGTTATCATTGGTATTGTTATTGCCAAATATAGCCAGTGGACCATTTTTTGGTTTTAATCCCCATGTATTTCCAAATGTCCGTCTCCATACAATGAGACATTTTACATTTGTTGGTCACTTTTTGTAAGTGTTGGTTCCAAGTAAGTTTGCTATCTAATATTAGACCCAGATATTTTACTTGGTTCGTTTTGTTTAGCCTTCCTCTAAACAGAGTCGGAGTTTCTAAAACCTCCAACCTTGTTTTCCGATTAAAGGTTATGAGTTGTGCCTTGTCAGGTTTTGCCAAGAGGTTTTCCCTAATGCACCACATTTTTCAGTCTAAGAGCTCTTTGCATGAGTTCAAAGACTGTAGTTTGGTGTGAATAGACCATAAATGTGTTCCTTTTCATCCTTCTATGGGCTCATTCCATTCTTATAGCTTTTCCAGCTATTCTTCTGTAGAAGTTTGTCATCCAGAGGGATTCCAAGATATTTAACTTGCCCTTTTTAATTATTGTCCCAATATGAAGCTTTTTCATTCATTGCAAATTCCTTTTTGTGGATAATCCTCCTTTTAGGCATCAGCTTTAAACGATATTTGGTGCCTGCTACATTCATTCAGAAATAACGGCCCTAAATTTACCGTTTTCTACGATGCTTAATCGCTTAAAAATGCTTATACATATATAGTTTTTCTTTTTAATTCTCATAAGAGATCATCAACCATCCAAGTCCACACGAATGGAGATAAAACCAGCCCTTGTTAGCTTAAATTATTAATGGTTTTTACCTAAGCATTCTATGGTTTAGAAAAAAATTGCTCGTTATGATTCAATCCTTAAGAATCTTAACCATTTTATAAAATATATCAGATTTGGGTATTATTTTAAAGGCTAAATTGTTAAATACATTTTCTTCAGTTAAAGAAAGAACGTAGTTCAAAGAAATACCTTCGACTAGCTATTTGTTGTTTTACATACCAATTAGTTATTTTATTTTATCTTATCTTTATCCAAATAAGTACACTATAAAAACGAAAAATTTAAGGATGTGAAAAATAAAATGTCCATCTTCTGAGCTACTGCAAGTTTTTGACGGTGCAGTATCTACGTCAACTTCTCTTTTCTATTCTATACTGGTGACTGGACCACATCTCAGCTATAGATGGTCATACCAAAATATATTGCTATTTTATAACTGTTATCATTTGCAGTTAAATAAAACTGCCAATAATTACCTTTTTTATTCCAGAACATCAGTTGGAAAACTACAATCTCTTTATTATTAGTTTATACTTGTGCCCTTATATATTTACTAGCATTCAAACATCTGCGGCTGCTCTACGGTAACAGAAAGTATCTAAAACAGATAAAATTTTACAGGAGAGCTAGAAATAGTTCAAAGCGTTGAATGGAGGGATATTCCTATAATTATTGCTGTTGATGTAGTTGATGACTAATATAACTTAGGATTATTAAAATTTCTTGTGGAAATTTGTTGTAAGGCAGTTAATCTGCAGTTACTCTTTTAGACCATTTTTACAATATATCAATGTTATAATGAAAAACAAAATATAGTGCTAGACGTTATTTTTCATTAGAATTTTCATAATTAAACGTCCCATGTGTGCCAGGAATAAAGTCAATGTCAAAATATTATTTTCGATAAAAATGTTGGTTACTTTGTTTTATCGTAGAGCGGCCGAACTGTCTTAATTCTTTCTTACACATTTTTTCCATTTCCTCATATTAAAAAAATATTTCTCTACCATGTAAATCCAAATAAAACCAAATTTAAAAATGGTTTTGATGAAACTGTTATGGCTCGTCAAGCCTTTGATTTAAGTCTCAGCTTGAAATGTTCTCAAATGGCGATCTTGTCAGCGTGATATGAACTTTGTCATGTTTTCAATTTCAACTGTGAAAGCTACTGGCACAGGCCTGTCACTCCCTGTACTTCCCATGTTAAATTTCGACTCAAATCACAATGACCTCGGTACCTCTTCCCTATTGGTCTGGGGTATTTTTGACAAGTCTGGGGTCACCAATCAGCACATTGGTTGCTGCCACATGAGAAAAATTACGTCTAAAAGTAAAAAATATTCAGGTTTAAGCCACTTGAAGACAAAATTAGTGTAATTATTACAAAATTTATGTTTTTCTGGTTTTTAAAATAATGTTGACCTCGATGCCTCCTCCCTATTGGTCTGGAGTATTTTTGACAGGTCTGGCGTCACCAATCACAACATTAGTTGCTGTCACATGAGAAAAATTACATCTAGAAAACTAATTGGTATTTTTGCAGTTTTTCATTGCACAGACCTTCATGATGTAATTTCTATTAAAAATGCAGATCTATAACAAAATTCGATTACAAATAAATGTTTAAACAAAAAAAATATCAGAAAGCTAGGTTATTGTAGATTGGATACATTTTACTCGCGTAAAATATTTAGAATTTTCAAGGTCACATACTTTCAGATCGATTGATATTTAAGTGCGATCTCTTGTGTTAACTATACTCTTTGCTACTGGCTTCTAACTGAACTAGTATAATGTTTATCATTTTTATATCTTATGCTTGAAGAAGAATTTTTGGTTTTGAAGTAGTAATATTCAAAATAAAGCATAATTTTTTACTATAATATTGTCTTTGCAACTTCTGCTTTTTACTTGGTAAAGTGCGAGATGATCCTTCTACTTATCAATTAATATTTCATCATATTCAGAAGAAAATTTTATCACTTTAATTATAACAAAAATTATCCTAACCTTATTTCAATTTAAAGTCTACTGTATGATCTGCTCACATACTTTGATTTTCTTTTACTATACGGAGAATGGTAGCACTGCGCAGCTTTCTGAGTGCCTTTTAAAAGGAGATAGAAAACTCCGCCCATTTTGAACCCTTATTACGTGTTGTCTACATTTTGGCGCAATATTGTTTCCTACGAGTGTGTCCAACACATACTTTGATTACTAGACGATGCAAGAGAGAGGTCTGACACGCCCAACATAGGGCGCGGCCATTTTGATTCCTATGCCACAGTTTATAGCTAAAGAATCAGATCGCTCACTCTGCGTCGACACTTATGATCTCAATGTTCCAGTTTATACACTGCGCAACTCAGATAATACAATATATGACAACCGCCTATAATAAAACAGCAGTCTTCTGCGTATCTTGAATTTGTATCCCTGGAGTGGATGTTATTTTGGAACTTTCAACTGGGCGAGTGAGCTAACTGATTCTTTAGCAATAAACTGTGACTCCAAAAATAATATTCACTGACACTGACAGCAGCAAGCAAAATATCAGGTGCGTTTTAATCATCCGCTTCTGCTTCCAGAATTGTCGGTTCAGTCGTTCTAACATGTAAGATTAAAACAAGAAAACCGACAATTCCGAAGCAGAAGCGGATGATTAAAACGCACCTATTAAAAATATTGCGCCAAGATGTAGGCAACACGTAATAAGGAATCAAAATGGTGGAGTTACTTATCTCCTTTTAAAAGGTACTCGGAAAGCTGCGCAGTGCGACCATTCTCCGTATAGTAAAAGAAAATCAAAGTATGTGGTCCAACACAAAATCAAATTAAATTCGTCGTAATCAGTCGACATACACTGTTGTCTGCCTAAGTGTGCTGACTCTTAACATACCATTCTCATATTTACCTTGGTAGATTTCAGTAGACATGTGCGGCTCTCAGCAGACTGAGTTTTGCGTCGCGCACTGTTCTAACAAACCGTAGCTTTAGAGGTTTCAATTTTCTCAGAGTCGGATTTTTTAATCTAATTAATGATTGGTGATTGTTTTCGTGTATTTTTTATTATCCTGATCATAAAACCGCTTTAAATTTTCTATCCAGTTGATTCCTTTCTGCAAAATATATAAAAAATGAGAAAAATAAAAAACTAACAGAAAATGCGTAGATTCGTACAGCGCTTCGTTTTTTAATGTAACATCCATTGGGACAATTTAGCTCTTGTCAAAATGAAATGTTGAGATTTGTAAAGCACTTAGCTTTTGACCAGGCATTAATGGAACTCACTTTATTTATATTAGGCGCTAACTTATCTCTCATTTATTTGTCTTCGCTTGGAATTGTCACACTAAAATGGATCAGTGCCGTTTATTTTTATTACTCTCATTTATTTGGATAAGAATAATACACTTTGTTTTTTTTTACAAGAAATTTTAGTGTAAATCATTCAAAATGGTGTACGGAGAACCAGCAGTTTTAACCGATATCATGGACACGATAGCAAGTCTAAAAGAATCCAAAGGATCCCCAGCGGATAGAATACTCGACCACATGGTATCTCAACGTAAAGCGCCCATTAGAAACGCCTCGTTTCGCATCAAGAAAGCTTTGAAAGCTGGTCTAAAGACGGGACTATTAAAAGAAACCGGTGGTAAATTCAAACTTGGTTTAGCGCCAAAGGATTATGCTGTTTTTAAGAGCTTTAGACTACTAGAGAAGAGACCTGGTAGCATTGGTCTTCCTGTGATTGAACATCGCAGAAGACGGGGACGCCGAAGCAGGAGCAGGAGAAGACGAAGAGGAAGAAGGCGAGATAATTATTTCAACCTAGGATTACCAGAGGATGACAGTAAGTTTCTTTGATTGGTAAATGTGACTGTATATTTTAATTCAAAATAATATCATTCATTTAAAAATGCGGGTTCATTTAATCACTATTTTAATGGCATGTTACGGTGTATTTTTATAGGTGGTGGCGACGATGATGATTATGGTAGCTTTAAAAGTTTCAAAAAATTATCAAAAACTGAATCCCTTCCTATAAAGGAAATAAGAAGAAGACGAGGGAGATCGAGACGTAGGAAAGGAAGACGAAGAAGAGGTCGTAGGCGAGGTGATTTTTATGATGCTGAAAATTTAGCAGGAACTGACGAAAGTAAGTAATGTTTCATAATTAGTCTATGCACGCTATTTGTCTTCTTAGGTGTTACTCTATTTAATATCTAATCGCACAGTAAAGTTCATTGCATAGCCTTTTAGTTGCACGTCACCGAATATGACGCAATATCATGTTTTCGGCATGTCTTTGATTACTACATGAAATTTGATGGCGACTCTACAAAATTTTGAGAGTTGTCAGGATCGTATTCAGTCAAATAGGAAAAGGCTTTGAAATTAAAGAATTGTGATATCAAAACATTACAAAATAAAACAAAATGTATTTTTAATTAATATTTGTCATAAATAATATAACATTAGTAAAAAAATTCCTTAAATTAGTTAATATCACACAACAAGGATCACTTGCCTTATGAAACCTACAATAAGAAATTAATCTGTTTAAAAAATCAAATAATTTTTATTCGATATACTTGGAAATCATTGAAATTTAACAAAACTGATAACGTTAAACTTGTAGAACAACAGCTATTTTTGATTACAATACAATATACGTTTATTATGCGGAATTGTCTTTCCACAAGTCCCAATCTGATTCTTTATCCGATTTATTTAAATCAATGATTACAGGAGATATATTATTTGCATCAATGACTTTTGCAGTCTTCCAATATTCATCAATAATTTTTCTTGTATGGTCTACATACCTCTTTCATTTTCTTCGATTTGTAATCTGCAATAACAATTATAAACCATAGCATAAGAAAAAACTTTGCATTAAACCTGTTGAAGAGATTCGTTCCAAACACTAATTAACAGTATCTGCAGTAATACGTTTTGCCGAAGTTATTTTTGCATTGCAATACCGTTTACACTCAGACCAAACAAGTTCAATTGGATTTAACTGGCAATGATATGGAGGCAGTCTCAACACACGATGGCCAAGCAAAAGAGCTAATTTATCTAATCTGTAAAATATGCATTTTTAATGTCTTATTAAATTATATCACGTCATGTTTCTTGGCAATTTTCTAACAATTCGAACTTCATACCAGGCATTGGAAACTGTATATTCCTTTCTTTTAACCAATTAATCAGAGAAACTTTGTTCCAACTTGAATTTGGTATTCTTTCGAGCAACGTTGAATGGTACGACGCATTGTCCATTATTATTAATGACGGTTCTTCTAAGCTTGGTAGAAGCTGATATTTAAACCATCTTTCAAAATTATCAGCATTCATTGAATCATGATAATCACCAGATTTACTACCACTTTTAAATATCAAGCTATAGTCATTAATGAATCAATTTTCAATACCCGTATGAAGAACAATATATCGTACAACTTCACCACTCTTCTTTCTGACTGCCTTATAGGTACCATTCTGCCAGCTTTTGCGAAATCCTCCTTTGCTAAATATCCAAGTTTTATCAAGATATACAGGCTTGAGACGATGAGAATCACTTCCATTTTTTTTTAAATCTCGTAAAAAACAATCTTTTTCGAGTAACATGTGACTGTTCCATGAGATATTTTCTGTTAGAAATGTTACAGCTTATCCATTTGAATTTTAATTCTTTTAAAGCCCTACTGAGTGAAGAAACTGATGTATTAATCCCTTATACATCTTCTAATTTTTTCTTCAACGTATAGTCACATGCTCACCTAAAATAAGAAAAAATGTTACAAACAAAATTATTAAAACTAACCCTTAAAATAAACTCATAATGAACCAGTAAACAAATTTTTGTGTGAAATGGAAACATAATAACATTGATGAAGATAATTTAGAACCTTATACAATCTAACATGAAAAATATGTAATTAGTAAATACCAACTTTGACTAAATATTCTGTATATACAAGTCCTGATACCATGTCCATATTTTTCCCGAATATTGGGACCACGCCTAACGCTCGCAGAATCGGATATTTTAGCTGAGTATTCGCGATCTGCTTGAATACCTTCATTTGCCAATCGTCCTAACAGTCGATAGCGATATTTCTAAAGCGCTGAAATACGCTAAAATTAATTGATCATCAATGAATTTTTACTAAACTTTAAGATGTGAAACTTACTTCATGTACAGCATTTACGGGCAACAGTTTTACCGGCTTGTTTTTCTAATTGGAAATAAGCGAGCAGTTTTAATACAAACGCTTGCTCTTTTTCGCTATACCTCGGCATATTTATAATTATCAAAATAAATAAATAAATAAATAAATAAAGAACCTCTAAAAAATGTGATTAACCACAATAATTACAAATGGAACTAATAAAAGTACTGGTCTGATAAAAACTGTCAGACGTACTTTGACGTTTATCAAAAATAGCTAAAGAGCGTGTTCAAGATTTCAATTTGACTATGGAGCCATGACGTATAGCAAACGGCAGCCAATGAAATGCCTGTATTGTATCAATTGTAGTTATTTAATATCTACTTCTCTCATGATTTTGTTGCGTCACGAAAATGTATAGTGGGCGTACTGTTTTTTGCACTTCTTTCAACTTAATGCGATAAAGCGAGATAGATGCCGTATGACGTGCAGCTGAAAGGCTATGAAATGAAGTTTACCTTTGTCATCATTCTCAACATTTAGTTGTAGTCTACTTGCTTTATTTCAAAGTTAAGAAGCTCAAATTGAGTCATTATCGGTACTCAGTCGGTACCGTTGGTCTTATTTGAATATTAATGTAAACTAGCCCGATATATTACATATATGACTTAGGACCAGTCTTTTCACCTCTAAGTAAAGTTAAAAGTAACTACTTGCTGATTAAACTGTAGGACCATCATTTGTTAATCTGTCAAGTAAACTTAAATGTAACTTCACTCAGAGTTGAAAACATCGACCCATATTTCTTCAGAATTAATTGATAACTGCGGTTTAAATTTAAACCCAAATCACCAGTTTAACTATTTATTAACCATTTAATGATCAGCCCCACCTAAAATAGACATGGCAACAATTGAATATACCAAAAATTCATTAAAATTAAGCTCAATACAGAATATCGAAGAAAAAGAAGATCAGTAGTGTAGAAATTTGCAATGCTATTGCAAATGCAATTAATAATAATTATGAAAAAGCGGTAAAAACAGTTTTCTACATATCGATTAAAATTAAAGGAATATTAGTAACGTGATCATTTCTGGTTATAAAGGAAATTATTAGCAGATTAATTTCGTAGGTGGTGCTGAGCCGATGGATAGAGGAAGAAGAAGAAGAGGCCGCAGTAGAAGGCGACGAGGTAAAAGGCGTCGTGGAAGAAGGCGCGGCTTTGGCCTTGACGACGAAATTGAATCTGCTAGGAGTTCTGATTCAAAGGATATATCGAGCAAGTCATCGGAGGAGAAACCAAAAACTGCGAAAGGAGGTCAAGGGCGTGGAGATCTTGGACCAGTTAAAGCCGAACCTGAAAAACGTGAAATTGGTAATTATTCGTTTTCTATTTTGTTCTTGTCTTCACAGGGTATTTTAGTATATGTTAGTAGTTTCGTTATTTTTTTCCATTTATTCTTTCATTTTTAAAGTATACTACTATTAACAGAAGAACCGCGGATGTCGTTCTACTACGATTTTTGTTTCAATTTTTATTGCTTGTTGCAGGGAAATAAAAATCACCGCATTTCCTTTGTCGCTCCGTTTTCAAATCCTGTCGCCTCGAATTACAAAACGCGTCGCGAAAGGCTTTTTAAAAGTACGTTGATTTCGATTGCTTATTTTATGCATCACGTTTATTATCGCTGCTGCCTTATTATTTTGTTGTCTTAAGTTATTTTGCCAGTCTGCAAAGTTGTGTCGATGTGTAAAGAACTATTGAAATTTTTATTGACAGTGGGACGTTTGCGGGATTCGTCATCAGAATAGTACATCCCATCTAGGGTGACCAGATTCCTTATAAAAAAAAAGAATGCTTCTGAACATTTTTTGAGGAAGTTTGAGGTCTATTTCAACAACGATCAAAAACTAGTCATTGACACCAGGATTAGGCGCAGTATTGAATTTGGCCGTCTAAATAATCTACTGGTATCAATGACTGGTTTCGGATTGTTGGAACAGATCTCTAGGTTACATTCATCATTTCTTCAGAAAACAGATGAGTCATTGGTATTTTTTTTTTATAAAACCAAATAAAAAACAATTAGTTTGTTATTATGTATTTAATTACCAAAACATTAATTTCCTATAAATAAAAATAACAGACAAACGTTACTACTGGCATTGGGGCAGTAATCAGTGATTTGTCATTTGTCTACTCGCCGCGCAGTTTCGCGTGACCCACTGATAGTCAAATTAGTTAGCCGTATTCGTTTATGTATCTGAATGGGGATGATGTTGCTGGCTACATCCTCTCCATAAATGGGAAGTATTGTAATCGTGAAAAAATCACCTTCCGAGATTATTTTAGATTTTTACGTTTTAGTGTCCCTAGATTACGAAGAACGTATTTCCCCATTCCGTCGGTCTGTATGTCGTCTGTCTGTTTGTCTGTTGGCACGATAGATCAAAAACGGCCTCAAAGAAAACCTTCAAATTGTGTATGCAGATTAGGTTCTTTTCTGGCTCAAAACCAGTTATACTTTTGATTAGTTACATGCAGGGTGAACAGTTTTAAAAAATAATTTATTTTTAAAATTAGGCAGATTTCGACTAAAATTGGTATCTGAGTATTCTAGTCAAAGTCAAAGATAACAGATCCCAAATTAGTTTAAAAAAATTCAAAATAGCTTTAAAAGAATTCGTATTTAATTAAAAAAAGTCCCCCTTGAAGTAAATGATAAAAATCGAGTCCGCTGTTTTTACACTTATTGTATTGAAGGGGTTGCTAGCCGCTATCCGCTTTTGTGGTTATTAAAGCAGTTTCAGGAATATTATTTATTTATTGTAGGCAAACTGGTGCCTAAGTTAAGTTAACTGTTTACTAGGGGTTATTAAAAAACCTCATTTTAAGAAACTGTTTACTTGCGACAGAAATACGCATAGAAAAATACTTTTACTTGCAGTAATTGATATATTTTTTCTGGGGAAAAATCTGTTCAGATAGATCTCCATTTTTCCTTATAAGATAGCGCCCTTAATCTAACCCTTAAGTTACTTGCAACATTAAAGCTTTTGGGTTTTTGATGCCTAGTTCTATTAGTTAATCACAGCTTGCGTAAAATATGGAGAAAAAAATACTTTCATTTTCGAATTTTCATTTTGTTATCCCTAGGAACCACTTGGCAATTTTCCTTCCATTCTACACAATATCGATATACTTTTTAACTCTCTTCGAAGCTTGTATGCGAAAATGAGGCTACTAAAGCTGTCACTATCGGACGGTCTATATCCCTTGCAGAATAATCTAAAATCTTACTATTAGTCTTTAATTTCAGTTTATAAAAATTGTCTGCAAACAGCAAAAAGTTTAAAATAAAGCAATCGCATAATAATATTTCACTTTATAATTCAAATAAAAATTAATTAATTTAATATTTTTTGGAAATCATTACATGATTTTACCTAGCTATTTTGTAGCCTACCGATATTATAAAAACTCGTAACAATTTAAAAATAAAAACATCAACTACACTAAATATTAATAAAATATAGGATTTAAAAATAAATTCCCGTCCCTAGCAACCGAATGAGAGCACCCAATTATTAACGAACCGTGGCTCTAACTTACCTCAATTTTTCTAGGTCTACTTAAGGAACAACTTTTGTGGATAATTCCATTTTAGTTACTTTGCTGAAAATTATAATTTTAACGTTATAAAATCATGTTACAGTTACGGCAGATCCTCCTAGAAGTCGTGTAGATCACCAAGAAAATATGCGAAGCAGTCATTGCATACACGATCACGTTTACCATCACGATGGGCCCTACTCACATCATCCTCCTCCCCCGCATTCAAGTCATTACCCCTCCGACCATTATTATGAGTGAATTGTTTGTTTTTGTATCATGTAATTAATTTTGGTAAAATAAATAATGTCTATGCAATTTATTTTAATTTTATATAAGTTTTCTAATTGGCATTGTATGGTGTCCGTTTCATAAAAGTAATCATCCAAATGTATTTGTAAATATCCATAGCTTTTTTCACCACAAGGTGTAGGCCGAGAATAACGATCAAGGAGAAGCGACAGCTTGGTGTTGTTAAGTGTACCGTTTTGTAACGCGCATGTGCGAAAATAAGTTGTGTATCACTCAAAATTATGTTATGTGTCAAAGTCAGTCCAAGTTGTGTTTAGTACATGAGCAATGTTAAGTGATATGTTTTGGTGTTTTTACACACTTAGGTATTCTAATGCAGATATAAAATGTGCCAAAAAAGTTACTAGGAAACTAAGAATTTTTATCACATGCATAAATATTTTATTTTTCATTTGTAGGTATTGTATTTTGTGAAATATATGTTTTCTTATGAACTGGAGATTGTTTATTTTATTTTAAAATTATATTTAAAAAAATATAATAAATCCGCGTGTTTCAATTAGGATTGGTCAAAATTGGCGAAATCCCTTTATTATGGCTAAGGGTCGGTCTTTTTACCTTCAGATAAAGTATCAGGTAATTTTTATCTCCCAAGTAACTTAAAAATTAATCTTTTCACTTCTGGGTAAACCTAACTTCTGAATGATAAATTATCTTATTTATGAAATTTCTGATAAAATACTTTACTGATGGATAAACAGGTAGTTACATAACCACATAAGGTTAAAAACTACTGGATACCTACCACACATATTATTTATTTGAAAAAACAGAAAATTAATTATCTGACAGATAGTAACTCTCAGATAATATATCCGTCAGTTAGTTATCTGGAACTTTATCTAAAGGTGAAAAGACCGACCCTAAATTGTAAGGTACAATTATGTCAATATAAAGATGTTTTGCCCATTCATATTTACATTTATTGAATGAATCATACTGGAGTTGATTTTGGAAATATTGGTGCATATAAGTACTATTTCAAAAAATTTGTCTATGCCCAGACAGCACACATAGTCCAATGTACGTCCACTTTAGATCTATTTGAGGATCAGGACGTCCGTTTATGCTAATTAAATTGACAGCTGAATATTGTTGTCTGTTTTGGACTTAATTTTAAGTTAAGTAGTATTTTGACGTCCAGTGGACGTCCATCTTAGGTCATTATTTATTAAGCCTACCAGATAATACTCATCTATAATATATACTTCTTTTTTTAATATAACTGGTCTTTAAAAATTGACAAATTGAATCTATTGCATTTCATTCTATCAGCGGAAGTTTGAAATCTTATTCAGTTATAACTGTATCTAGTAAAAAGTTTTCAAGTGGTTCCTTGGTCGAGCTCGTCTAGCGATTGAAAGGAAAAACGATAATGGATGTGTCGTGAGTTCGATGCCTGCTCAGGTCAAGCGATTTTTAATAAAAACAAAATAAATGGTGTATAGCGGTTTGCGAAAATAATAAATTAATAATAATATAAAATAGTGTGTAGTAAGTTGCAGTTCTGTAAAAAAGTGGGGATGTGGTCTCAATGGAAATATAATCCTGGCGTTTTTTGAATGTTCAGTATTCGACGTCCAAATATATTCCAGAATTAAACGTCCTCTGAATGGTCAAAAGTGTGCCATTTGTATACTTCACTGGACGTCTATTGGATGTCGGAAGTCCAGAAAAAACTCATTCTTGGACGTCTAGACATCCAAAATTGTATATCGAATGGACGTCCAATGGACATATTGGTATTGTCTAGGTGATAGCCAGGCCAGGTATTTAACTCTAAATACATAAACCTTAAATGACATCTGGCTTAACTTGGCGAGAAAACACTTGTTTATACAGAAATGAGTGATAAACTTGAAAGTCCTTTTAATATAATATAAATCCAGAAATTCTAAAAATATGTAAGTACTTTTTAAACCTAAAAGTTTTTGAAAATATAAGCACATTGCAAATATTTAGTTAAATATCTCAAACTTAATGTCTTTTTAATTGTTACCTAAATTTGGTTCCCTTAATTTTATTTACCTTATTTTTACTTAAGGAAAAGGTAATTTAATTTAAATATGGGGCTTTTATTACATTTTTAACAATAAATAAACCAAATATTGAACAAATATTATATTATAAAATAATAAACGTCTTTTACTTTTATAATAAATAATTAATTATTACATAATGAATTATATTTTGGTGCCGAAATTTTACCATTGCTATTAAACCCTAACTACTTCAATGTAATTAAATCACATTACAACATTTGCGCATGGACTATAACAATGGTTTCAGATAATTTGCCAAACTATTTCGCTCAGTGTAGAAAATAAGCATGTTTTCTCAGCGTGCTAAGTTGTGTATCAATCAAAGTCATGCTGTAAAAAAGGTCACTTACTTTGATTTTCTTTTACTATACGGAGAATGGTCGCACTGCGCAGCTTTCTGAGTGCCTTTTAAAAGGAGATAGAAAACTCCGCCATTTTGAACCCTTATTACGTGTTGCCTACATCTTGGCGCAATATTTTTAATAGATGCGTTTTAATCATCCGCTTCTGCTTCGGAATTGTCGGTTTTCTTGTTTTAATCTGACAGGTTAAAACGACTAAACCAACAATTCCGGAAGCAGAAGCGGATGATTAAAACGCACCTGATATTTTGCTTGCTGCTGTCAGTGTCAGTGAATATTATTTTTAAAGTCACAGTTTATTGCTAAAGAATCAGTTAGCTCACTCGGACCAGTTGAAAGTTCCCAAATAACATCCACTCCAGAGATGCAAATTCCGGATACGCAGAAGACTGCTGTTATTATAGGCGGTTGTCATATATTGTATTATCCGAGTTGCGCAGTGTATAAACTGAAACATTGAGATCAAAAGTGCCGACGAAGTGTGAGCGATCTGATTCTTTAGCTGTAAACTGTGGTTCAAAATGGCCGCGCCCTATGTTGGGCGTGTCGGACCTCTCTCTTGCCTCGTATAGTAAAAAAAGGTACATCCGATATCAAAGGCACCGACAGCTACTGTCGCTTCTCCTTGATCGTTATTCTCGGGTGTAGGGGAAGCGGGGCACAGTGGACACGGGGGCACAGTGGACACGGGGGCACAGTGAACACACTTTATTTAAACCGTATTTACGTCGGAGTAATTCGACAGCCGTCGGGTATAACGTGACAAATGCTTTCCTCGATGTACTGTTGTAATTTTAATTCAGTCGGTTAAATAGTTTTAAGTGATAGCTAGTTTAAAAATTGTGAAGTGTGCAAGTAAAATATTTTATGGTTAGAATTCTTGTTTTATCCCCTGCATCTCATTACTTTTTGAAATTTTATATTTGTCACGTACAGGATATCTCTGCACATTTTGATATAGAACGTAAGCAAAACAAACGACGGTTTTTCTACTTAGTTAAAAAATATTTAAGACGCACATCATGGGGTACAGTGGCCACCATAAACAAAGGGTACAGTAGTCACTGCTATCATAAAGATGGGGTACAGTGGTGACTGCTTTATTTACATACAGATTAATAGTATACACTCCACTACTGAAGCTGATGTTTTTCTGTTAGAAAATGGTTCGTAACCGAAAACGAAAAAGTTATATTGGCCTTGTTAAACCACAAACAATGTTTGCTGGCGTAGTTGCAGTAATCAATGGGGGTTACAGTTAAAAGGGGCAAGTCCTACTTTTGCTATCCCAAAAAGCACATTAAAGCGATATGTAGCTAAATGCAAAAATTTAAATATAGACAGACCACGCAACTTTAAAAGATCTTCCAAAACTTTATCCACATTACACGGTTCGTCAAATTTTAACAGAAAGTGAATGTGAATATTTAAAAATAAGCGCAAAACTTCATCATGGTTTACCCCCAATCGATGTAAAAAAACTGGCATATCAACTAGCAGAATAATGTGCTGGACGGGATTGGATTACAGCATTCTTAAAAATAAATAAAAATATTTCAATACGAACTGCTGTCTGTCAACATCACTGGCTAGATCAATGGGATTTAATAAAGCAGTGGTAGATGGATTTTACAAAAAAAAAAAAGAGCTGTATCCGAAATTTAAGTTTAGTGCAGTTAGAATATATAGTGTGGACGAAACGGCTTTAACCACTGTTCAAGATTCTCCTAAAGTTTTTGGAGCAAAGGGCCAAAAGCAAGTTGCACAGGTAACATCGGCAGAAAGAGGGGAACTAGTAACTATGTGTGGAGGAGCAAGTGCAATAGGAAACGTTATACCTCCTCTGTTAATATTTCCAAGGGTTCACTACAAGGATTTTATGCTGAAGGGTACCCCTCCCTGTTCTATTGGCTTAGTTAGTCCATCAGGTTGGATGTTAACTGAAATTTTTAACCGATATTTAGAACATTCTATACGATATTCAGGAGCAACACCAAGGAAAATCCTGTGCTCTTAATAATGGACAACCACGAGACCCACATCTCTGTCAAAGGTATTGATTTAGCAAAAGCAAACGGCGTAGTGTTGTTCACAATTCCCCCTCACACTAGTCATAAACTCCAGCCAGTGGAGTGGAGTGTATGGCCCATTAAAGAAATTTTATAACGATGCCTGCAATTCTTGGTTATTACAAAATACAAAAAACTGGATAACCATTTGATATTTCAGAAATATTCGGAAAGGCTTATCCATTGGCCTTTTCTTTAAAAAATATTGCATCCGGGTTTAGTTCAACTGGTATATATCCTATTAATAAACAAAAATTTGACGAAGCTGATTTTTTGGCAGCATCAGTCACTGATCTAAATCCCAGATTTCAAACAGATAATGTACAGTTCATCAAATTTCTAGAGGCTTTCGACGGCTAGACAGAGAAAGCACTACTGACAGGCATCCCGACGGATTTACGCAATGAAAGTACACTCTGCGCATCAAGTATTTCACTATTTCATTCAGACGTAAATGTCAGATGTAAATTTCGCTAAAACATTTCTTTTATTTTCGTTTGTGTTTTTTGCTCATTACAGTTTAATAGAACC